AAAGGCATGTGTCAGTAAAGGACATTGCATTCACCAGTAAACATGGATTAGAAATATCCATCATTGGACCAGGTAAAGTCCACTATAGAGTCAGTGCAAAGATTTCTTAATCTTCTGCTGCTGTCTGTTTAATTAGGCTGTTAATGACCACCAGGTCTGGTGAAGAAGACCCTATGTACTAACACTATATATCCTTTTAAATTAATTTAATTAAATATGATTGAGTATATCTCCCAATCTGACAAAAAGAGTCTCACCATGTATAAGGCAAACATTTTGTGAGTGCAGTTTGGCTCAGCATATTGTCTTCAAACATACTATGCCATGATAGTCAAGGTAGAACTAGACAATCATTGTGGAATGCTTAGATGTTCTAAATTACATCTCAACCTTGCCTGGTTGAGCCTTTCCCAGTTTTAACCTTCCAAATACAAACTACAGCTGCTGGATGCAACAGGAAATGAACAATAACTAGCATCAATAACATTTTTTTCTGAGTGTGCATAAAACACAGCCTCAGTTTGTCTGCTATTGCTGTCCCTTTCCAAAAGCAGTTGTGCGGTTTTCACCCAATAGTGTATTTATTATATTAAGCTTCACTAGCAAAGATACAGAAAGTCTGCTTTCATTTAAATTAAATTCCCCAGATTTCTCACCAAACTCTGACCAATAAGTTTAGTTAAAGTAATAAACCAAAGCAATAATGCAAGCCTACAACAAGCATCTTGTCGAAAATGTGTATGTACCTGTTTCTAATACAGATGTTGATTATAGGATTTTCATATACTTGTGCATCTCATTGTATATCAAAGGAATTTAGCTCATTCAAGTTGGTCTGTTAAATAACAGCATTTGGAAAGAAAATTATGCTGCCTTCTCAGAAGGATTCACACTGTAATCTCCTGGATTTATTATTATTATTAAAAATCATATAATAATCCAGCTTGGAAGGGACATAAGGGACCATCTCATCATCTGGTTCAACCCACAGCCCACTGCAGCACCAAATTCGAAGTTGGCTCTAATTTCAAGGTCAGATAAATTGCATAGAGTCTTGCTCAGCTAAGCTTTGTTTATCTCCAAAAATGGAGATTTTAGTGTCTCTCAGAGCCACTTGTTTCCTTACTGATTATCATCATGGTGAAAAAAACCCTTGCCTTATTTTGTCTTAAAATATTCTGGTATCTACTGATCACAAAAGAGATGAAAACCAAAATATTAGTTATCTACTAAAGTCATATTTTCACAATAAACTTATAGCAAAGATGTTATGCATACAGAATTACTTGTGTGAAAGGGAAGATGGGTTACACACATACTTGTGAAACATACTTTATGAAAGGGAATGATTTATATTATGTGATGCCTGTAATTGCATTTGGTGATCTGGCAGGTATTTCTAGGCCTCTCTTTGCTGAAAGACCTCAAAGGGTCATCAGATTACTTGTTTATTCTTATTCTTTAACTTGTTCTAAATGGATTTTGAAGTCCTTTTTCTGAATTACTGACATGCCTGCCTGTCACTGTAGTGCATTAATCAAGCTCATTATTCAGTGAGAATGCTCTCAACTGCATGGTTCCTAGAACCACACCTTAAGTGTTATCAAGGGTTAGTTTATTCTCATGTTACAAGTAAAAAATCAGTGGAAGGCAATATGCTCTTTCACATACCCACCTCACACTCTGGGACAATAGACCCCTTTAGTGTCAAAGTAGTTCCCCGCTGAAGAAATGTTCCTACTGTTTGGTTTTATTTGAATAGGTGAACGGCATCATATGAGCCTTTCACAGGGTAAATGGGTTGGCCAGGCGACTGGCTTCTTGTGGGATCACGCTCCGCACTCAAGTGTACAAATCAATTATATGACTGCCATGCTGAGAAAATGCATTAACTTTCAAAGTGAACAGCAGCAGCCTGCTCTTAATAAAAATGTTCAAAACCCACTCTTAAACCGTGACTCCAGCTTGCAGCTGAACATGAAACATCCATTTACAGCCAATTACACACAATTTCTATCATTCTTTGGAAGATATGTATATCCACTAGGAATATTAAAAGCCCCAAACCTCACAAGTATACATGAAATCAGGAAAGACGTAAAAGCTTTCAAAATACGCTTAGGCAGAAATGCAGTGAGCCCTGTAACTTAACAGCAGGCATCTACTGAAAGTATGGACAGTGCACAGGTAACCCTTGGCCTTACATATTATAGAACAACAACTGCTACAATCCAAAACTTGCCATTCTAGGAACAACACAAGTTATTAAAATGATTCCTTCTCGAGAGTTTCTTCCATCAATGAAGAGTAACAAGCCTGGAGCAAAAACCAGACTCTTCCAGTGTCACACATCCCACAGCAGAATGTCTTCTGCCTCCAGTGATGAAATAGGCCTTAGAAAAATTAAAAAATCTTCATGAAATCTAGTGTGCACAGACAAAGGCAAACTCAGTTAAATCTTAATGTTACAGGTACTCATGATTTAACTGTAGGAACAGCTTTCAGTTTAACTTGTTGCCCAGCTGGGATGCAGGAAATTTTTCACAAGGCTAAAATTAATACCTATATTCAAGGCCGATCAACCTAATTGCTTATTATGTCATGTTCCACTGAAACACTTATTCACAGGATGCAGTCCTTCTTACTTTGGAAATGAAGGTTTCCAGTGGAGAGTTGTTCCCATTTAAAATGTTCCTGTGTCATAGCAGGACTCCCGAATACTTTCGTAATTCAGATTCCAGATAAAAATAATCATTTCTGGTCAAGTTGTCAAAGAATAGGGAACACTGAACTAACAGAGAAAGATGACATTCTCTTTATGTGTGCATATCTGTCCATACGTGATCCTAATTAATATGTTAATTGGCAGCTGCAGAGAAGAATTAGTAGGATGCTTAAACACCAGCTTCATTTACCTTACTGGTCAGGATTCCTCTATCTGTGTTATAAACCAGAGTAGTATGGAAACATTTCAGCAAAACTCATCTTGCTATATAGATTTGTTCTTTACAAAATTGCTCCTCACAAAGCATTTATCTTCCATATAGTCCATCTAGATTTGTAACAACTTACCTCCTGTCGTAAGCCTTCCTTTCTGTTTTTGTATGCAAGTTTTCAGTGTCTTTAACATTTAAGGGATGAGTAAAAAACAGTTTTCTGTGTGAAAGCCTAGTAGTGTCCTCTGACCAGGAGACTACAGTGAGGCAGTAAATGTAGTTATGAAATACCCTCCTGTCTATCCAATTTAGTAACAGCCTCCAAGTCAAAGACACTTGAAAATGCCTAAACTGCTCAGAGCAAGCTCTTCAGAAAAAATGGAATCCTACTTTATACTCATGAATCCAAGTTATTCCTTCAAAAGCCTTTAAAAATAAAACAGCCCATGATTTCAGCCTATCATTGGTGACCTGCCCAGCACAGCCACTCTTAAATGCAAGAGATGAGCAACAGCACTGCATGGATAGAATAATGATTTATTGGAAACAAATCTTTACACAAAGTATAAAGGCAATCACTTCAGCCATTGCTTTTTTCAACAAGACAAAGCTACCCCATTACAAGATTTTTTCAGTAACAGGATTAGATTTAGTAACGATGCAGAATATTTTAAATTCCTGAGATTGAGGCCCTCACAGCTTTCATCCACAACATCCTCCCCACACATCCCACCCCCTGCAAAGGTGCTGGAAATTTAATTTCCCACTCAGTTGCGCTTTTAGGGGATTACAATCTAAAATTACAGTTTCATTCTTTACATCATCATGAAATTTAAAAGTGCAAGCAAGACCGTGTTTCACATCAAGTTCATCCACCTTCAGTTGCAGGCATCCACTTTAAAATTACTTCCAATTTAAAGCTGGTATCCAAGCTGCTTTGTACATAAGGCTACTAACTGAAGATGTAACTCGTTCCCCTTAAATCAGACATGGAAGCCAACTCCTCCTTTTTTTCCAGCTGGACACAGCTAATGGTTTCTTACTTTTCATACAGGGATTTAGATGTGAATGCAAGGCTTTAGGCACAAGGCCTTTTATATCTGGACTTAATGACACCACAAGGAAGCTTAGTAACAGAGTTCTAGTTCCTACTGCAGAGTTCCAATAATTTACTTATAAACCTAAAATAATGTGGAGATCATCTAGCAGACAACCCAAGAATTGTTTGGGTTTTTGTTTGGTTTTTGGTTTTTTTGTTTGGTTGGTTGGTTTTTTTAATGCAATTTTGCTACTTGAGTTGCAAAAGTGTTTCTTCCTAAGCAATTGTGCTGGTTTGGGAGAGTTAATTTTCTTCA